GGAATCATTTACATTGCTCCACCCACTATCCTAAAATAATAAATAACCTCCTTATTTTTTAGATTTTTGATTAAAGAACAGAAAAAAAAAATAAACAACTTACCCTTGCAGTGGGACTACCCCCACACTGCAAGGGTTAAGTGCAGGTTTTGTCTAGGGGACTCAAATAAAGCAGTTTTTCTTACCTGATCCTCGGTCCGGCGGCAGTCTGCACTCACCTCTCTTCCACTCTGCTCTAGCTATGCAATGTCCCTCAACGTCCTCACATCTAATGTATATCAGTGGGCCTACATGATGATGTCAGTGATCATTAGACCATTGGAGCCCAGGGAAGAAGAGACTATAGGGACTGGTCTAGCAGCCTGGAGGGAGAGGGCGGTGAGTAAATCTGATAAACAAGCACTCATCCCTTGCAGTGCGGGGGTAGCCCCATTGCAAGGGTATGTTTTTTGATTGTTCTTCTTTAAGCTGTCCATAGATGGTTCGACTTTTGGCTGATACCTCAGTTGATTTAAAAACAAAAAAGGAGTCACGTGGAAAATGATCAGGTTTCAGCCGGCAGGAAAAACTCCTCTATGCCTGCAGGGCAGAACAAGAGAAATCTGTATGGCTAACTTTACAGTGTACACTTCTCAGTACACCTTCCACATCTGGACATGCATAGCATTTGCATCAATATTCAAAATTGTGGAAAAGCACTCCAAGTCCATACATTAAGGCAGAGCTATATTCTGGAGATCAACGTTAGTAAGAGACCATGAAGTAGAAATTCTCTAACACATGACACTTTTGATTCCCTAATGACTCAGCAAAAAATAAAAAATCCAGCATCATGCCCGCCAACCTAAAGGGAGGGCCCCGAACGTTTACTTTTTATAATCAAATAGAACCAACTGCTACAGCATATCTTGTGCTTCAACATATGGGCATATTTATAAAGCAGGGAGTGTAACATTCACCAAACATTCATTGCATGTGAATCTTCCTGGTGAATGTGTAATAATATAATGTGAATGACCTACCGTCAGTAAATGTTTGGTGAATGGCACATTGACGGCTTTATAGATATGCCTTTCAGTAGTAAAGCTTTTTGAGAGCTTGCACGCAGCCTGTTTTAAGCCACAGTCAGCACTCCCTTTAAGATCTGTGTTTACCATTTCCAAACTGGACGTGAAGGATGCTTTAAAAGCCTCAAAGAAACTGAAGCTTGCTGAAAGCTCTCCAAATTCTATGTAAAATCTTGCTGTACACATTTCTTTTATGCAAGGTGATGCCGGTTTGTACAAGGTCTTAGGCTGTCCAACTCTTGGACCCACCAAGAACTTTGTAAGGGGGTCTTCCATGGAGCATCTGTAAAAAATAAACATTCCACCTCAAATGGCTTAACTCAGTTCTTTGTCACTCTGTATATTTGTTATTCCAGGGAAATAAACACCCACAGTGGAATGTTGACTATTAGTTTCCAATTATAGGCCAACACAACTTGACATGACATATTTATCCAGGTAGAACACGCAACACATAAAATGGTCTTTGAAAAGATTCCTTATTTACTCTAAATGCCCAAGCCAATATCCCAAAATGACAAAACTGTTTTTCATACAGCAAACATTGAACAACTCTTGATTTAGAATATCCTTGCATGATGTTTGCTTCTTCAATAAGGTCTGTTTGGACATGCAAGGAGAAAGCATACTGGGTGAATAAAATTTCTTCCTTGCCTCATTTGTCTCTGTTGGTGGGCCAACAAGGTTCACTCTTGTGACATTCACCATCCCAGAGCGACAGGTTGTGAGCAATTTCAAAACAAGTAAAAGCCCGATTTCCTGAACATCTGTTCATGACACTTCTCTAGCACTAAGCAGGTCTGGCATGTATTCACAAGGCTCTGCTGAAGTATCCAGAAATTCATATTCAATGTGACTTCTATATGACTATCTCCTACATACCCTCTCACATATCCTGCAGCAAGATACATTGTACGTTTTCATTTCAATTATTAGCAGACCTTGATGGACATTTTAAACTTCCCATTACATTTGTCTGGTCATTAAAGGATTAGCAGTTTGATTAAAAATTCTCTGGCAAACAGCAGTTAGAAGACTGTCGTTTTTGAGAGCCAGAACAGAGCACTGACTCTAAGGGAATTGATTTATAAAACTTCTGCCTGGCCATACGCTGGACTAATGCCATAAGCGTGGCATAACTGCCACTGGATGGAGCTCAGGAACACAAGCCATACCATCTAGTGGTGGAAATGCTTTGCAAACAGCATTTGCCTAATATACGGCTGGGTGGAAGTTTTATTAATCAATACCCAATTGTTAGAATGTTATTCACCCAATCATTTTTTTTCTCTACATGTCCAAAGCAGACCTTACCATGGAAGCACCACACTCATTCACCATCTTATGTCTGTTGCCAGCTTTGTAAAACTTATATCAGAGCTAATCACTGTACGAAACTCTTATTTCGTGGATTGTGGGAAGACAGCCAAGTATCTCCTCCAAGATTCCTATCTATCTTTTTGACATGTGATAACTCTAACAGTCCAGTAACTTGGTGCTATCACCTTGTTGCACTTCATTATGGGTGTGACCTGGTGAGGTTACATAATAGGCAGCAAGTATGGAGGGTATTATTATTATTATACAGGATTTATATAGCGTCAACAGTTTGTGCAGCACTTTACAATATAAGGAGGACATTACAGTTACAATACAAGTTAAGACAAGATGGGAGTTAAGAAACTGAATTTAGCCTACCAGACAGTAAAGCAAACATGTTCTAGCTCTGTAATTGACAACGAGAAACAATCTAGAAATGTCCATTCCTAAAACCAGGGATGTCCTGATACCACTTTTTCAAGACAAAGTACTATCCCTCATGTACTTGCCGATACCAATTACTGATACTTTTTCTTGAAGGGACAGGTGACATTTTTTCTAAAACAACACAGACTTATGATTTTAGGGCAGTTTCTCACCAGGGCTGCGTGCACTGGAGGTGACAGGTTCTCTTTAATGTGACATTAGGGGTATTTTAGACCTCTAGTGTCACCTTTCCACTTAACTGGATTCAGCTGCTGAAGCAGCTGAATGTAAATACAGCAGGCAGTGGCTGGGAGCAATAGCCAGCCTGCTACTGGATATTTTAAATTGCAATAGCCAATAGCAGGCTGGCTATTGCACCCACCCACTGCCTGCTGTCAATCAGAAAAGGAGGGGACTGAAGACAAAGTTCTCCATCAGGTCCTCTCTGCTGATTGACAGCAGGCAATGGGCGGGTACAATGGCCAGCCTGCTATTGGCTATAGCAATTTAAAATATCCAATAGCAGGCTGGCTATTGTTACAAGTGTCCATTCCTTTTCAACTTGATGAAACTGTTTCCTTTTGGTGATATATCTCAAAGTGTCAGCTGTCCGTGCTCCTTATGTGTTTAGTAATGCACTCATCACCAGACGTACCCAGAAGTTTTCACTCTCAATGAATGAAGAGAAGGTCCGTTCTGTGGGTAGGCAAGATTTACGGCTTCTCTCCTCCCCCGTGAACACACAGAACGGACCCTCTCTTCTTTCATTGAGAGTGAAAACTTGTGTACGCCTGGTGATGAATGCATTATTAAACACATAAGAAGGAACACGGGCATCTGAGACCAAGATATATTCTCAAAAGCAAACATGATGAAAAGGAGGGCACACGGAAGGACGAAGGAGCAGCAGCAGCTAAGGTACAAGAGGGATGTAGAAATCACTTATTTAGTGTTTAGAAAGTGTGGTCAGAATCGCACAGTGCAGTATGTAATGCATTTATCAGTGCAGTAATGTTCATATTCATGTGTCCATTATAAATTCTGGAAAAAAACTGGCATATTTTATGGACTGATCATGTTTAAGTCATTTGTTTTATTGAAGGTATGGAAGGCCTTCTCCGTGTTTGTTAAGATACATATGGATGAGAACCAGGAGTGGAAAAGCACTGCATTATGGTGGGCCCAAAGTCTGAAAGCCCCTAACAAGTATTCATTTTTTTATTTGATTGTCCACTAAAAGGGGGTAGTGAAAGGTGATGTAACAAGCCAACTCTATGATATTGTGACACACCTTCTCTTTATTCTAAGTAGACAGTGGTCCTGGTCACCAGGGAAAACTGAAATGTCAGTGAGCATGGACTTTGGTAGCCATCCTTTACAGACTCTAGAGATCAAAATTATATTTCCACGTAAGGGAGGAACGTTAGGCACAGGGCTAACAAGAATGTGCAAAAAATCAACAACTGATTAAGCAAGAAACTTCTACCTACGATGTCTAGTGGCATGAAATAGAATACAGTAGAAATGGTATACATAATCATTATAGAAAGGATAAGCACATTGACAGTAGTGGTATAGAAACATTACACAGGGGGTAGCATTATCTTTTACTCTGACACCAAAAGGATATAAATATAGAGTACATGTAAGGTGAACCTGTGTTTTGCCTATGCACAGATATGGTTTTCTTTAATACTGGACCCCTTCACTCCTTCGCTGCTCCAGTGTGAAAGCCCAATGACACATCAGGTACTTTTGGGTATGGGGGAGCACGTGACTTTCTCTCCTTCCTTGACATGGTGGAAGAATGCACAAAAACACTTACACAGAACATCTTGTCCTCACTCCCATAGGTAAATGGATTGGCAAAAAAACTTATAAGTATAAGCAGCTGAGGAATAGGTGGAGCATTGAAGTGAACCTGACAATATGCACAAAGAACAGAAAGCCACATTAACCTTAGGCCTCTGGAGTAGGCCCAGAGTGCACTGGAAAGAAGACTGATAGGTATTTCTTGGGCATGCACTCAAGAAGGGTCTTTTTTAAATGGCTCCATCCTGCCCTTCTTTTGGATGCCGAGCTCTGCCATACATTACAACAGTGGGTCCATGTACCACCACTGATAACTATCCCATAGTTTGAAAGCATTCTTCTAGAGTAATCTTGACATTTGTATTCTAAACCTACCTGTCTCTGGATTTCAGCCAAGTTGTAAGGCAAAGCTCCTTCTTCTAGTGGTGCAATTCTCTCAATATCTGTCAGAGTGAGACGTCTGAACACAAAAGAGAAATTGCATTATCATACACAACTAAATATCCACATACAAAAAGGACAAAAAAACATGGAAAGCATGCTGTCCATCCTCACACATATCATAAGGATAACTCATGGATTAAAAAAGGACCAGGGGTTAAAGAATGAATGTATCTTCAAATTAAAAATAACATTTACCACCCCCTGTCCTCTGCACATGGACCCTCACATTTCATGTGAAACGTTAACTCACTGCTCAAGGCTGGCATGATATTTAGGCACTCAGTCACTCATTCATCTTGAATGAATATGGCATCCGGCAGAAGCTGGGTATGGCAAGATCAGTGGCGGAGCTAAAGTCAAAAAAACCCACAAACACAGAGCTCTCCTCCTGCAGCGCTCGGCCGACTGTCACTTTCTCTCCTCCCCAGCGGGTAGGACAGAAAGCATGGATGCGCTGCTGTATCAGCAGAAAAATTGCACTTTTGGCATTTAGCCAAAAGTGCCATTTCTGGCTGATATCTTTTGGTGGCCGATATATCGGTGCAACCCTTATATTTACAGCAATGCAAAATGCCACAGGCTATAGAGGACTACACATCCCATCAATACTTTATATAACAATAGCATTTCTGTATAAAGTACTGCTGAGATTTGTAGTCCACTATAGAGGGTGCCATTCTGCAACAGTACTTTATACAACATTAGGCTACAAATAATTATTATTTACATGAATTATTGCTCCCGATCGGGCTAAGCATTCTATCGCCATAGCAACCATCAGTATCCGGCGGCCCCCCATCTCTGCGCCGGGAGTGTCGGATGAACGGATGATCCGACACTCTCGGCGCAGAGATGGGGGGCCCGCTGGCCGCTGGGTACCGATCCGGCGCTGGGCCCCCTAGAGCCCCAAGGCCCTGCTGCGTCCGCACCGCCTGCACCGGCGGTAGTTCCGCCACTGGGCTAGATAGAATCTGAACAGTCCACATCTTCATTTCCTTACACACACCTAGCCGATTGCTTTTATTCTCTATGGTCTGACTCTTCATCAGCTCAGTGCTTGCAAGGTTTTAAAATGTAAGAAGAAGTGCTGGAGTGCCAAGGCCAGGAAGGCCAAGCAGTCAGTCAGTAGCAGCATTCCATGACATCGGACAAAGGGGGACCAAATATTTTTGCAGGGGGAAGGCTAACAGGAAAATAGCCAGGAATTTTAATGCAGTGATCTTTTTGGTGACTTCTCTGAGAACTGCAGTGATTCATCTAACAGTCATCTACCCTACACTGAAATACATGTGTTGGAATGGACAAGTTTTACTACCTTATAGTTGCTGTGTTTTCCTTTTACGGAGAGGAACAGAATCTGTCCATGGTAAAGGTCAACATGCGCCAAAGGTAGAGGTAGCTTTTTCTTTAGCACGCAATACTTACCCAGTCGCATTAAATAAATCTGAAAGCTGGAACAAGATGTCAATTTCTAGTGGGCTAATCTGTCCAAATTTGTTTGCAGAATTAGTAAATTCCTCTGTAAGAAAATCATCAAAGCATCAACAATTTTGAAGTTCCATAATACCTTCAAGTTTAAAGCTGAAATCCGGGCTTAACAAATGTTGTCTAAAAACAGGAGTTATTGTTAGATCTTTTAGATCTGTGCAGTAATCCAGTATGAAACAACTTCTGAATTCTGCCTATGTGTAAGAATTTCCTTAAGGAGACTGGTCTTGTACCTGCCCACCTGTAGTTTTCTGCAGACAGGTCTGCAGTGGGTGGATCTGCTAGGTCCCTTGCACAGCTCAGCTCTCTGCACAGACTTGGTAATATCTAGGTTTGCAGTTGCGTTTGGCACAAGCAAAATGGATTTATATGCTTTGTAGTTGTTATATATAACGTTTTGGTGCCCAGAGTTCAACTTAAAGTAAAAGATCAGAGCATGGAAAAATATGAAAGCACAACTAAGAAATTACCTTTGGTGACCTCCAAGTCTCTTTTTGTGCCTGCTAATGTACTGTATATCTTCCGTATCAATTCCATATTGTTTAGCAAGGAATTAAAAGCATTGAAGTAGGAGAAGCTGACTTGGTGTGAGATGGTTCCTCCTGCAGCCTAAAGAAAACGGCAAAAGATAAGTGCAAAATGGTTATAGGAACAGATACTCAGGACCCATGGGGGCCTAAAGGAGAAAAACTCCAAAAGAGGATCTCCCTTTTTGCAGAGAGATTTCCTATTACTTTGTACTTTTGCATCTATAAGAGGAAATTAAGGGAATTCTCCTAAAAATAGGGCACAGACTAAATGGACAGGGTGTTAACCACACTCTTCTCTCCTTTAAGTTGCTTTAGATAAACTTTAGGGGAGGTGAAGGAAGAGGTAAAGTTATAAATAGATATGAGTAGATGGGAATAATGGATGGGAAAAATAGTATAAAATAGTAGATGGGAAACTCAGAGGCTGCAGAGTAATAGAAAGATTGGTTGGAGGAGGCCAGCCAGGAGAAATTACATTCAAGTGAGTGAAAGACACAAAAGGAGAAGGAGCTGGGTTTTGGAAAAATGAAAAACAGAATTGGTAACGCTAGACAGAGCCAGCTGAGGTGAGACAACAGACAAGCATGTGATGGTATTGGAGTATCAAATCTGTTTTAGATCTAAAAAAAAAGACATTTGCATGTTACGGAGCCCTGAAACCTTTTTATGCTTACTTTCATTTTGCGTTTGCTCTCTAGAGACGCCTGACCGCTTGTATGTAAACAGCCATCGCTGGCTGTTTACATGCTGAAGGTTTTCCCTCTCGTGCGCTCAGCGCGGACACGAGAGGGGGGAGGGGCAGGACGTCTTAAGACGCCCTCCCGCTCTGAGCAGACGTCCATCTGGCCGTTCACAAACGGCCATGGACGTAAGGTAGTTAAAATGTAACACTCTTCCACACTTTGTATGTAAAATGTCAAAACAATGCTCATCCAAGCAGATTTAATTTACAAACACTGATATTAATCCCAGCTGTTACTTACGGAGACAAGATTTTCTTCTACAAATGGAGTCAGCATGTGGGAACGTATAGTAACCATAATATCGCTGAAGTCCATGGCCGTGATCATGCCAGTCTTACTCTTGTCCTTCCGGGCAAAGGCTTGGCGAGCATGTTCCAGTTGAAGTTCCTAGAATCCAGGGAGAGCAACAGATTTTAAAAATGCAATTGCACATTTTCAGTGATCTATGCGGCATACACAAGAGTGTACACCAATACAATAATGTTTTACACCCCTAAATTTTTCTTCTATTTCTGATAGATTCATTTTACTGTTTAGAGAAAAGAAGTGTGAAAACTAGGGATGCACCTATATTGGCTGCCGAAAGTGCCATTTTCTGGCCGATACAGCGGTGCATCCGTGTATTCCCTCCTCCCCGCTGGGCGCTGCTCTGTGTCCAACTGGGGGTGGGGGGGAGAAACTGTGACAGCCAACCGAGCCTTGCGGGAGGAGAGCGCTGTGATCGGCTGGCATCTCTCCTCCCACACCGCTCAGCCTCCTGTCACAGTCCGGCAGAGTGGTGTGGGCGGAGACAGCCTGCGCTGTCACAGTAGGCTGAGCTCTCCTCCCGCACCGCCCCACTCCGCCTCCTGTGACAGTTGTCAGAAAAGAGAGTCAATGCAAACACTCGCTGAGTGTTTGTAAATAACTGACATAGTATGTTATTATATTCTCAATTGTAAATGAATGGGAAGTAATCTACATCATCTTCTGTCCATCCATGACTGTGGTTATAGTAAACTTACTCTGTTCTCATGTTATGAATGAACAGGAACACTCAGAGGATTCCTGTTCATTGATAACAGGGGCTGTGTCCCCAATCTCTTTTTCTATTTTAAAAGGGAAATATCATGGGTCTGTTTAGACCCCTAATATTTCCCCGAAGCCCCTAAAAGTAAAGTAAAAAATACAAATATTTAATTTAAAAAAATAATAGGTTTATAAAAAGTAAATCATTTTTTTTTTTAATTTGAAAAAAAGTTAAAATGAAAACATTTTTGGTTTCGGTCTGATATTTTTTTATTTCGGTTTTGTTTCTTGAAATTTGCATTTCGGTGCACATCTAGTGAAAACCCCTATCAGATTATCATCATCATTCTACTTTTAGGACAAAACATACAATTGGACTTATAAAGGGACATAAATATATCACTAAATATACTATTTTGCTTCTATAAAAAAGGAGTAATTTTTTTACTAAATTTTTCTGCCATACTGAAAACTGTTTTTGCAGTTAGATATGTTCTTTTTGTTTCTGATGCATTATATAAAACAAATATTTCACCTGTAAAAACTCTGTAAACTCCAAGTAGGAAAGAGGTTTCTTCCGGTTGTGGCCAAAATGAAGCCGAATAAACTCACAGTCCCAGTTGAAAGGGATATGATGGTGTATGATCGTCTGTCCAAATATTTCCTTAACATCCTCTTAGAAGGAAATGAAAGCAGAAAATATTATTAATTTAACTATAATTGAAAGAACCATCATGATACACTGGAAGAATTAGGATAGGATCTCAATAATTATACAGAACAAAGCCATCAGTTTCACCGACCCAAAATCAGCATTGCAGGACTCCAATCCCTTAGATTCTGAACACTAAAGGCTGTATTTAATAATGTCCAAGCTCAGCAAGGGTGCATGCGCTTGCAATTGCCAATCATGAAACTTTGAATAGTGAGATCAAGAAAAGCCCATTTCTGATTCATTTCTATGTGGGCTACTGTAGAGTGCTGCTCTTTGCAGTGCATTTCCCTGTATAATCACGATTTGCATAAGGTATATTTTGTAGTCATTCAAAATTAACTCCAGAAATGGCTATTTATATCCAAACTGTACCCTTAACAAAATTGCACTGCAGTTTCAGGAAGAACTTTTCTTAGTAAAAACACACTGGTTTTGGTGCCAACATGGCCCCGACAATCACTGAGGTGCAGAAATAGTACAATATACAAAACTGTGGTTAGATCTGTATTAAACAGACATAATTCTGCATCCCTTCTTTGCCTACAAATGTGACTCTCCCATTTAGTCATTAGATGGTGCTATACATAATGCAAGAACATGGGCTGCACCTTTAAAAAAAGGTTGATGGAACTTAAATAACTCCCTTCCCTCTGCAGATAGCAGCAAGTAAGGATCACATACTAGAGATGATGCTGGGGTTGCCAGAACTTACACAACTCCCTTCCTTCATTTCTGTAGACATCAACAAGGACAGGTCTGAGTTGGGCAGATGACAGCAAGACTAAAATACTTAACTACACCTTTACACACTGACATTGTGGTCATGCAAATTCATATAAAAATATGCATTATATAAATCCGGAGCTCTTCTTTAATATACATAATTATATGTTTCAGGAGAATCTTAGAGGAATTCAAAACACAACTAGGGCAACCCCTATAAGAGATATATGCAATAATTTAAATTTACCACCGAAGTGTGACTAAGATGATGTGATTTCTATTTGCCATTCAAAGGGCCTTGGCTGGCAAGTTTTCTTGGGTTTTATTTTTTTCTAAAGTAAAATTTTTTGGGGGTGAGGGATTAAGAATTAGGGTTATTTTTTATGAGGTTTGATATGATTAAAATGATTTATTATAGACCTATAATCCGTTTAATGGTCCGTTTGTGTTATGCTGTATTTATATTTATAGGTCCTATGGGACTGACATGGCTTGATATCTAAATGCACCTACATTTTTCTAACCAGTTTTAGGTATAATTGTTTTGTGCCTTTAGCCATAGTCTCAGATAAAGTACACTTTATATCATAAGAATGTACAGTCCTCATTTTCAAAGCACATTTTAAAAAACAATATTTGTGTAACACTTGGATCATGCAATGCTGACTAAAATCAAGCCCAATTAAGAATCCTTTTCTATTGTGAAGTCATTCAGGATCTAAAATTCATACTCCCACAAGAGTAAAGAATATAT